GGGAGTTTATTCACCGTCACAACGAGAATTTTTTGCGTTTTTTAAAAAACGTATAACCCTGTTAAAACTACTTTCTTTATTTCCCTCTTCATTAAGGATATTCTCGCATTCTAACTTTCACGCTTCTCATACGTTAATGCTTGTGCATTTAAACTTGCCACAACAATGTGAATAAGTTGACAGAATAGAATCACCCTCGTATAAACGCTAACCCTGCTTCTACTACCCTGTTGCAAAAAGCCTCGAGCCATCCCAAATCGAAGCCGTATCACGCGACCTTCGAAGATGAACTCCTGATAGTTAAGCAAAGAGTACGTTTAACCAGCTTTTCGACTTTCCGACTTTTTTAACATTTACACTTTCCCTGCCGCATGAATCCCTGGTCTGATTTACCCACGTCGCACCTCGATGCGAAACTTATAAAATTATAAGAACGAATCGATAACGTGAGACGTCGGCGACGGAGCAGAAGTAGTAGCTGCGAATCGCATCGGAACATTCAAGATTGCTGCAAGATTCAGGGTTGATAAAAGTCGCTGATATAACTGTTTCACGAAGGGAACGGACAAGGAAGATAATTGAACGAAGGTCTAAACTAACACAACTATTAGAGATGCAAATATCGTAAATTGCCTAGCTTCTTACGGCCTATGTAATCCTGATCAATAGATACTGAACATCATCTCGAGACATCTCGCAACTAGTTCGCAGATTCGCCTGTGTTAGCTTCTTACGCTTTTATAGATAAATAGATAGTTTCTTATGGAGAGACAGTTTTCCTCGCGTCCTTCTGTAAGTGGGAAAGAGAGGATAATAATTCATTATACACGAGAGAAAATTATTTCAGGAAAATGAAACCACCTCCCGATTTTATCGGCTACAAATGTACAATGGAAATTAGAAATATGAAATTAGGAATATAAGAAAAACATAGAACGAAATTATAAATATTTTAAGAAAAGGCAGAAAGAGCGAGTATACATTCAGCCGTGACAGGGTGTTAGCGTCTAAATATTTCATATTTTTAAATTTACCGCGAAAAATATGAAATATTGAGACACCCTGTCACGGCTCCTAGTCTTTTAAATTTGTGTTTGTCACATTTGAGCCATACAACCTGACTTGTATCAAAGCATTTATACCAAATTACATTGCGACTATAAAACCGCTTAGTATGCTTAAAGGCATAACGTTCTTTCTATATTTGCGTACGTGCGTTTTGCATATTGAATTTAAACTGCAATTAAATTTTCGCCCTTTCTCTCATAACTTTTCCATGTAAAACTACTATCCAAATAAAATATTAATTGTATTAATGATAGAGCAAGACTACGAGCATATTGTTACTGTTATAAGTGTACACATTTTAACATTACGTTTAATGCACGTGGCATCTTCCCTTTCGCTCCATGCGCTTCATGTTGACGACAAGAGTTATTTTTTAATTGTGTAGAATCGTAAAGAAAATTTCCCTATTAGGAGATAAATTGCTAATATAAGACAGCAGAACTGCTAAATTTATTTAATAATAGGCATCGTCTATCGGTTCCATTGTGAATTTATTGCCGTTGGAGTGAAATCTCTGTTTAGTGGAAAATTTATTATTAGATCGTGTAATCTTTGCGATTGAATTTGGATGTTGAAAGCCCGCTGTCTCGTATTAAAAGCCCTATCTCATAACGTGGGATTTTCCTCTATAACATAGATGAATTAAAATTGAATAGCTGTCATCTTGTGCAATAAAACGAGTTTATATCTATTATCTATATAGAATTATTATATATCTAAATAATAAGTTAAAATTCCTATGGCTCAAATGTGACAAACACAAATTTAAAAGACTAGGAGCCGTGACAGGGTGTCTCAATGTTTCATATTTTTCGCGGTAAATTTAAAAATATGAAATATTTAGACGCTAACACCCTGTCACGGCTCTTAGTCCTTTATTCCTTTAAATAACAAATATTATATATCTATATAGAATAGAGTCTATATAGAGGAAAGTCCCCCCATGAGATCCTAATATGGGATAGCGGGGTTTCTGTTAAATTAATAGGCTGTATAGGATAATCAGCAATCGATTCCACCACGACTTTATTGCTCTTGGAGCGAAATCTGTTTAGTGGAAAATTCATTGTTGGATCGTGCAATCGTTGCGAAAAAGAGATTTGCGATTGAATGTGAGTGTCGAAAACCTGCTATCTCGTATTAGAAACCTATTTCATAACAGAGGACTTTCCTCTACATATACATTAAGCCACGATACTATTTTTCCAACTGGATTGCTTACGAGATGCAATCAGGATTTAAAGCCAACGGCACACGATACTATTTTTCCCGCTGGATTGCTCGCGAGAGCCAATCGGGATTTAGCCTTGGGTCACCTGATCCAAAACTCCGCGTCCTTATTGGTTCTCGCAAGCAATCCAGTAGGAAAAATAGTACCGTTGGCCTCACTTCGGACAATCGGTTTCGTCTTGACCGCCAGTCCACTGTGACGTCACATCCGCAGGTTTTCTCGACAGAACGGTAACTTAACACGCCTGCAATTGACACATGTATGTCGCGATATTCCAATCGAATCTCCGGCGCCAAACTACGTGCTTAGTGCTTGCTAACAGCACTGCTAACATTTTGCTTACTAGGGGAGTAGCGACGTAAGAAAGAAAGAGAGGCGGCTGTGAATTGCGAGCGGCGAACTGGTCCACGGGCGCCGAGATGAAATCGCGATAGGTTTCTGCGGATCATGCGAGCCTGTTCGGTACATGCTAAAGATCATCTCAAGAAACAATCCGGTCCGCCGGCATCTTCATCATTTCTCCTCCTCCTGTCATTCGACATTGCGCTACGCAATGAGGTGTCTACGGCCAAAGTCGTTTGGGGAAAACGCGCGCGAGCGTCGACGCCGGCGTCGATAACAAATTCCAATTGTAGATTCAGCTCGCATCGGGGGACACATTCGTTATCACTGCGTAATTCTAACTAGATCATTAATAAATGTATATTATTGACAGCCAATGAATTTAATCTCAAGCGTAGTCGGCACCACAACACATGTATTTCCTGCACAAGATTATCGAATTTCTTTGTACGTCAAATGATTCGTTATGTACTTGTCCAGTCGTACTTTCGTTAAGTAGCTGATAATGTTACATTTGCAATAATATCCAACATTCGACGGCCTAACGAATCGATACGAACGTAACGCGGCGAGTGCCCGAGGTGTCACGAGCGGCGGTCATTGCGCCTGCACGGGTGTCGCGCCGGAGCCGCTTTAGCTCTTCGCCATGCTACCAGCCGGGTCGGTCGGAAGCACGAAAGTGAGTGGTGAACAAATGGTAGATCGACAGCGGCAACGTGGTATCAACTAAGAAGGCGAATCGCTTTGACCTCGTCAAAGCCTCGCCCTCCGCGACGACGTCCCGCAAAAATTCGCCTCCTCCGGGCGCTCGCTCCTCGCGCATCGATCCCCGTGTCGTTCGTTCGCTGCGCGCGTCCGTTCCCGCCTTGTCCTGCGCGCTCGAGAACAGCCAGAGGCTCATGGTAGCCTGATATTTTTAGGAAAGAAGCTGTCGCCTTTTATCGATCCAAGGCCGACATCGAGGCCGAGAAGAGCACCCTCCAAATTAGGACTCGAAGCGGCAAAGGACAAGGGCTCCGGAGCGACCGCGGTTACACAAACGGCATCGCTACTTGTGTATCTTGAGATAACATTAAATAATTTCGTCACGCGATGCCAGGATCTATTGCGTTGCAGAAGCGAAACTTTTGCGTTCTTATCGCCGGAATAAACTCGCAGGATGTGGCGATATGATCCACGACTGATAAGAGGAAAATCTTGCATTGTAAAATACACTTGGCGCGAGACACAGCTATATGCCTCTTGGTTATTTGTTACCTTTTTTCGCGAGAGGTTATCTTGGCGGAGAATAATAATAATTGGGAAGAAATTTGTTTTCTCGCCGTGTACGTACGCCTTCTCGACTCACCGCCATTTAATCGGTGTCGTTCCTCAGGCTTACCTTGCCCTACGTTCTGGGAATAACCAGAAATTCATGGTAGCCTGATATCTCGGGAAGCGAACTCCTCACCATCGATCGGGATGGGACAAAAAGATGAGACGAAAAATAGCAAAATTAATGCAAAAGAATAGTCGTCGCACAATTGTTACCGAATACGTGCACGCAATTTACAAGTAGTACAAGTAGTCGTATTTGCATAAGTACCTTCGTCATCCGAGGCCCCAAAAAGCAGAACAATTACGCTTGTAGAAATGAAGTAGAAACGAAACGGCATTAATCCTTGACAAGCGCACGAATACTTTGTAGAATATTACCTATTTTTCCCCTTTTCACGAGAAATTGTCCTGCAACATGGAAAATAGAACAGTTAGAATGGACACACGTTCGTACACAATTCAGTTCTAATTACTTTTATTCTTCTAGAATTATTATAAAAAATATTATGCGCCTGGCCATTACTTCATACATTTATTATTAACCGCGTTTTCACACTTGTCATTATGCGTTATACTTTGATACTTGGACAGCTTACAAAAAGACAGACATGGCCGCGGCATAGCGTGACAAAGGGTTGTAAAGCGCTGTACAAGTAAACGGATTTATATTTATCGCACAACTAATCAACAATCGTACGACACGTAACTTGCGAAACATTTCGCCACTTGTGAAAAAGTTATAAATAACTTTAATTACATTCGTGCCTATCACAAGTTTCAGTGAGGTCCATTTCAATTTAAACCACTCACTTTCTTTTGTCTAATGAGAGATAATGCAGTACAATACTTTGTCACGAGACAATATTCTTTCCTTTTTATCCTTCCCGTAGCAATAATTAAGGGATCTATTGTGGAAAAAGAATGTTATCCTACACTCGACCCGATTTCATCGACGATACGAGCTCCGCGCGCGGTATCCATTGTGCATAACACAACGGAATTTCTTTTCCCCGATGGCAGTTGTCTTCGACAACTGGAAGAAATGAGGGATAAGGAGAGATTCGTCAATGCCCAATGGGGCGAGAGGGGTGGGCGACGTGACCTTTACAGCACACGGGAAAATTACAGGGGAAATTACCTGTGCTGAAAATTGTAAGGTTACATCGGAGTAAAACTTTCCTACTGCACGCTCCTACTTCCCTAGTAATATATTTAATATTACTTGATGTTTACGTTAAATTATTAAATTAAACAATACGCTGACCCGGTTACGATGCATTAATGATAAAATGCGAAGGCGTGCATGCGTGATCTCGCCCGAATTAAATTCGATCCGTTTCTCCACACTAGTTCACGAAATTGATCTCCTATCGCGAGCGGTTGGGGCGCGTCCCTCCACGCGCCCCGCCCGGGGAGGCAGGCTCGATGGTGCAGGGAAAGAAAAAAAAAGGGGGGAGGGAACGAAGGGAAGGCGCAAAAGGCACCCGCATATTTAATCGATTGATCGTATACTATTTACAAGACACCGGCGAAGGTTCAATACACGTAACGATCAAAACGTGCGTTTCGGGACGATCGAGCTCCAAGTTCGATATGCTTTCCTGGTATACGAGCACCACTTAGCACACCCTCTGGATTCCCATGGGACGTGTACTACACGTAATGGAAATCAAACTAGTTTCCGGTCAATCGAAGCGACTTGAATCGCGTCACGTTGCTCTCGTCTCTCGTCGTATAGAGCCGTGGGGCTCTAAAGGCGTCGTACATATGTCACGAAATACTGCTGAGATGTTTATACCGAATTCTTCAATTCGCCAGATACCCGCGTTTATGACCGTCCCTCTCATAAATTAATTATCAATTCCACTTTCCCGACTTGGTGCAATGTCAGTGTTGCTCTAGACTTGAACTTCCGTCGTTAATTCCCGATCAGGATTGCGAAATGGCTGCTTCTACCCTGTTTTGTTTTTTGTACGACTTAATGCTCCGAGTGCACACGCATTTAATGCATAAAATCCCACTTTAAACCCAAGGAGAAATAAAAGTCAAGATGATGTCAATTTGATGTCATATTGACCAAATTTACGTCATATTTTGGTCAATATGTAAGTCAAATTGACGTCATCTTGACTTTTCATTTCTCCTTCGGAACGATCTGTGATTCCTGTTGGGATACCGGGTGGAATTTATAATTTTATACCGTGTGATACAGACAATAGAAGAATCAGAATACAAAAATGTGTAAAGCATCAAGTATCCTACATATGCATGCATTAAAAGGCATGTGCAATTATGAATAGAGTTCCAGTTTCAAAGATGACTGATGTAAATTATAGATTGCCTCAAGTACTTTAAAATACATAGAGGAGTCTCCTATTATGAGATAGGATCCTAATATGCGATAGCGGGGTTTCTGTTAAATTAACAGGCATCGTGTTAGTGGAAAATTCATTGTTAGATCGCGTAATCGGTGCAAAAAAAAGATTTGTGATTGCATTTGAACGTTGAAAACCTGCTATCTCATATTAAAAACCTATCTCACAAGAGAAGACTTTCCCCTATACATGTAAGTATCTGTGAGAACAGACCCGCTCACTCACGATTAATTTCGGCAAAACTGCACTGCTTTTATGCCGACGAATGAAAATCTTTGTAAATCTACATTTTATTAAGTCATGAGATTTAATGTTCCGCGGGTACGTAAAACTATTATAACAATCGTTAAACACTCCTGTCAAACGAATTATTTGCTTTTCTTTAAATCTTTTAGTATCTGGGAGGACATTTTCCTATCAACAGATAGACGTGCACGTGTATGTATGTACAATACACGCGTACGCTCTCTGGAATTATATTCCTTTCTACAAAATCAGAAAAAGATCTTTCACAAATCTATTTCGGTTAATTCACAATGACTAAATACGATTTATAATGATTATTTCATGTTATAAATTGCATATAATACTTCGTCATTTATGCGCAAGGCATTCATAATTTGTAAATAAATTTTGAATAAAAATTAATAATACACGTTATAAATATATATATATATACGCGAATATGCGTATAATAACAATAGTAACAACATACATATAAGTATACATACATGGATTGCATGATGAAATATATCAATAGGAATTAGAACCTTTCTTAGCACATGGGGGCGTAGCTCAGATGGTAGAGCGCTCGCTTAGCATGCGAGAGGTACCGGGATCGATACCCGGCGCCTCCAACTTTTTTTTTTACTTTAAATTTGCTATTTTAAATTAACGTAATAGATTTCCCATATAAAAATTACTCTCTATACGCTTTTTCATTATTTATAAATTGTACAAATTATTTTTTGCGTGTAATTGAAACATATTTCTAAAGTTTGTACAAGTTACATTTCTTTACATCTTTCTTCCATCCTTCTTTAATATCTATTAACGATTTGCAAATTGACTTCAAATAATTTTCTTTTTAATTAAAATCGTCAGTTGAAGAATGAAACGCGTTTGCCGCAGGATTAACGAAAGCTGATACCAGCACACTGCCGAAGCCAGAGTATAATAGTAATGGGGCCGAGAGATTATATTGTCCAGCGAACGCTTACGTCGGGAATCAACCGGTCAATCGACACGACAGTTCTCTGCGGCTGAGACAACTGAGATCCGAGATGGTGCGGGTGGCAGCGGTTCAAGGGCCACCTCTCGATGGCTACATCGTCACGTCGGACGACGAGCATCAAGTGAGTTCCGCAACGCCGATGACATTAAATCCACACTCGGTATTGACTATTACAGGCTTGTTTTCCATTGCTGCACCGGTGAACTAGTGCAATAAATTAGAGTAAGATAAATATTTTTTGTCATTCTAACTTGCTGCACTAGTTCACCAGTGCATCAATAGATAACAAACCTTATGACTTATCTGTCCAAAAGTCTATTCACGTGTAATTCATCTTGGTAATTGGCGTTTTTTTTTTATGTATTAGAAAATTGGTCTTAACTATAAAAAAAAGAATTGGATATGATAACGGACATCATGACTAGGTCTTTCACTTATCATTGATACTAAAGAATGTGAAAAATAAAGAAATGCACAAAATTCGACATACAAGTATTATCAAAATTGTGTGCGGCAGTTCTCAGGAAACAAATGATTTACTATCGATTGTTTCGCCATTATATCTCACTGTTAATTAACTACTTGCATTATAGGAGATGAAGTCTAATGTAGTATCGATTTTCATCAGATTATCTAGCCGATTGATAGCGATATTGACATGATCGAATTGATTCAAATCATTTTATGCTAAATGTTATTCCTCTCATTATGCTTAAATTTTCAGACAGTGAGCTTCGTTTCTCAAGGCCGTGACGGCCCTCTAGAGGTATATTCGCGTGGTGTATCATAGTTGAAAGCTTCTCGTAGTATAGAAAGTAACCTTTTGCATAATTATTTTGGCTACGCTAGACAGCCGTTCCGTATTTGTCAAAGTTTTCTAAATAAGTTTTATTTGATTTTGGGTGCAGTGTCTGCAATCTTTTAAAATCGCACGTTTCTCGATATACAATAGACGTTTCACTAATTGTAATCTTTAACAAAATAAAAACAATATTTTTAGATGTGACAAATAACAAAATTAGAAACTTAAGAAATTTATTACTTTTATTTATTATATATATAAAAATTTATACAAAATACGTACACCTGTTAATTACTTTTAATTTTATTGAAAAAACCGAAAAAACGGCAAAGCGATTGGGAGATGTGGATTTTAGTTGAAACTTAGCTTTAGAACACTTTAGTGGCCAATGAGTATGAACTTTTTTTTTCGAATTGCTATAATTAATATTAATAGCCCTCGGCTGTTAATATTAATATCTAAATCATTTATTATTCTTTTGTTAATAAAACAAATCGTTTCCACAGAGCGAGGCCGTGGATCCACGCGATATGAGGAGAGAATTTCTCACTGGATTCTATGGAAGTGCTGGAGAGGCTCTAGTCACTGTTGATAAGGCAATACTTTGGACTGATGGTCGATACCATGTTCAAGCAAACCATCAGCTGGATTGCAATTGGATTTTAATGAAGCGAGGTGAACGCGATGTGCGTAAATGATTCAAGTATTTTCATTATCTCGTATATATCGAACAAAATCTTTATTCTACTTAAATTGCGTGCTTGATCATCTGTTTATTATTTATGCATCACTTTCGGTACGCATTTTATATTTTCTCTCTCCAATTGATATTGAAATAATTTAAGATTAGTATTTTAGTTGATCCAACTGGCAATATAATTGATAAAGTGTTACATTCGATGCGACGTTTCGACCAGGAATCCGATCCTTATCAAGCAATCAAATTGCTTGATAAGGATCGGATTCCTGGTCGAAACGTCGCATCGAATGTAACACTTTATCAATTATATTGCCAGTTGGATCAACTAAAATACTAATCTTATTTATTCATCACTGGTGACTTGAAGTATACCCCTCTACTTGAAATAATTTAAATTGCCCATTACAATAGGTTTTTAACTTCTTCCTCATAAATTTGTCTATAATGCCTTCGCTCTTATTATTCATAGAAATTTATACGAACCACTAATATATAAGATCTGAAAACAACAATAAAAGTGTTCAGAACAATAACAAATAGTTGCAGATCTACTCAAAATATAATTAGAACTTTTTTAATTATATTAAATAAATTAGTAAGGCTCGTATGTGTTCAACACAAATTTCAAAGAATTTAAAGGACTCAGAGCCGTGACAGGAAGGTAGTGTCTAAATATTCTATTCTAAATTTATTGCGAAAAAATATCACCTCGGCCAGGGTGATATTTTTTCGCAATAAATTTAGAATAGAATATTTAGACACTACCATCCTGTCACGGCTCTGAGTCCTTTAAATTCTTTGAAATTTTTTAATTATGTTGTTAAAAATGAGACTATAAAAATTAATTACACTATATTTTTTATCCAAATAAATTTAACTTGTAATATTAAATCTGGTAAAAAATTTTTCATATAAAAATATATGTATGTATACAGCATATAACATATGTCCATGTACATATATTTTCTCTCTCTTGTGTAATCTCTGTCATCTGTATGTAAAGAAAAAATAATAAAAAGAATAATTGAAAAATAATTAGGTAGGTAATTTTGCACTGTTTTTTTTACAAAAATAAAATTGCGATTAAAAATTATACAATATTCTATGAGCTCTGAAGCGTCTTAGCATTTCACTTTTCCTTTTGGGTTTTCATTCTTTGTTTCTTGTTCTACAATGCTATGTATGTATTACACATAGCTTATAGAAAGCTACAGCGTTACTGAACATTTTTGCAGAATATAATTATATTTTCAAAACTCTATAATCTTATTTTATATACAATTATTACATTTATATACATATAATTATTGTATACATATGGGTCATTTTTCTAATTTCCTCGAATTTCATTTGTAATAAAAAATACAATAAAATTATTAACATTTCTAATTAATATTTTTAATCTTTCTTATAATAATTATTATTTTTACTTTATACATATACGAACAGAGATGATATAAGAAAAAGAAGACATGCATAGACATGTCTTATATATAATTATACATTATTTTATATAAGTTTTATGAAAATTTTTTTACCGCAAATATTCTCTGCTACTTTTCTACAACTTTTCTATTCTGATGTGGTTTCATTGCGCGAGACACTACCATATCTCTTGATTATCACACAAAATAGGTAACCTCATCGACCCCTAGATGGCGATACCGTCTGGATTCGAGTACTAGCAAATTTAATTTCTTCGTAGTCCACTAGGTGGCCACGATTGAGATCGCTTTCTCGTATTTAAAATTTGATCAACATGGCTATATATACGGCGTTGGAGGCGAAGGCAGTTTAAGATCATACTTCACAGGATCAGTTCTGTAGGAGTTAATCTCATTCTCCCTCCCTAACATGGGAGTTGATGTAACCACGATGACGAGGAGCAGTCCTCTTCCCTGAGCGTGAGAACGACACGAATTCTCGACTTGTTTCGAGAATTCTGTCATCAATGACCGTTCAGCTTTCGCACTCAGTGCGAAGGTGATGGGAAACAGGACATACTGAGTGGTTATTTTTTAAAACGTTCAAAAATAAAAAATTTCTTAGGAATCGTTCAGAAACACCCATCCACTCGAAGGGACTGCTCGCTCGATTAGATGATGTTTCTAAACGGCAGCTTTATAGATTACGATCTAGTGAACAATACTTGATTTCCCGAACAATTTAAATGGATATTTAAATTAACTCGCGTAGCACGAGGTGTGGCATTTGCTTGTTAGATACAGAAATAACGCGTATAGCACGTGGTCCGTTTTACTAAAGCTTTGTATGCATTATATTATGACCACAAATATATAAATAACTAATAAATATATAAAATACAAATATATATACACAAATATATAAATAAAATTAATTAAAATTTATATAAAGTATTTTAGTATGATTATATGCCTATATTGCACAAAATCAATCTGTCTAAAACTTTTATAGAAATTGTATCAATTAAAAGTTTACTGCGAATTGTTTTAACGGATTAGGTGCATCTGTGAATCAATTGCTAACGCAAGAAATGGCAAAATATAGCTCAAAAATTCATGATAAAATTAAATTTTTAACTCGGTCCTTTTAAGATATAAATCAATTACAGTGTAAACGCCTTTTAGGACCTGGCACAGATGGAGGTGGCCAAACAACACATGAATTTACTGACGACAATAATTCCACCTAACGTAAAAACCTGTGTTTGTCCGTTTGTAACGGTACGCAGGACAGAATAGAATAAATACGGTGTATGGATTCACCTGATACTTGGCCACAGGACACACGATAAGTGGCCTCCTCCATCTGTGCCAGGTCCTAAAAGGCGTTTACACTGTAATTGATTTATAAAATATTAAATTAATAATAAAATTGCATCAGTATTAATTTAAATGGTAAAGAAATTCTACTTAACGTTACTGAAAGGATCCAATCCTTTCGTCGTCAGTAACATTGGATCAATTATGAATTATAAATCTCGCGGGTGTGTTATATGTATGCATAATATCGAGTTGTCGACGTTTACTTACTTAGATGCCTCTGCTTAATGTTTAGGTACCAACGATAACAGAATGGTTGATACAAGAGTTCCAAAATCGCTCGGAAGTACGTATTGGTGCCAATCCGAAATTAATATCCGCATTTACGTGGGAGATATGGGAGAACGAACTGGGTAACGAGAAATATTTATATCCAGCATTTCTCTATCGCGATATTATTCAAATACATATACGTATATCTATTTCTGTTTGTCGACGAAAGATAACTTATAAAAATCTATTATACATAGAGGAAAGTCCTCCATTATGGGATAGGATTTCAATATGAGATAGGAAGTTTTTAACGTCCAAATTCAATCGCAAATCTTTTTCGCAACAATTACACGATCTAACAATCAACTTTCCACTAAACAGATTTCACTCCAAGGGCAATAAATTCATGACGGACCAACTATTAATTTAGCAGAAATCCCACTGTCTCATATTAGGAGCCTATCTCATAATAGACTTTTCTCTCTATATTTTTGCCATGTACGAATATATTGCTCTGATTGATTATACATAGAACGAGTACTTTGAAGTTTTGAAACAAGTCCTATCTAAGTACGTACTCAGTAAATACCAATTAACAGTTACATAATATTAATGTCATAACCCAGATAGCACAATTAAGACACTCCTACGAACGTTAGGTCATTCTTATATATTTATCTTATGTTCGTAGAACATTCGACTGGCACTGCTATAAATCTTTTTCGAATATGAATAGAATAATCTATCGAATATAGCGTGTCGGTTATACATGATATGGTTTCACAGGTTTCACTGCCTTTTGCATAAGATATGTGTATTACACAATTAAACAATGTGCAAGACATAAACTCAATGAGTATTAAAAAATTATTCTGAACGAATGTTCCAAAGACATTCTCGACGAACATTCTAAAAACCTTCTTAAATTCTTTGTTATGAATGTACGATTTCTAATTGTAATAATCAACATGTATTTATAGAATATTCGATTCGAATATTCTGAAATTAAGAATATTTACACGCCAGAAGAATATTCATAAAACTACGTGTGCTATCTGGGAATGTCCTACTTAACAATGTAACGTCATGTACAACCTGTGTTACACATTGTTGAGTGAATGAGAAATTATAATATTGATGCGATGCAACTGCTAGCTGATATTTACTGTAGCAAATCACTCGTCGGCCGCGAAGAGGCTGAAGAAGCCGAATCCGACCTTCCTTCACGCGACTAACGATCCTATTCGTGTTCAGCGAATTCGTCCGTAAGATTGGTCGCAGTCCGTAACGACCTGGTGGACTTGATCTGGCAGGTGGGCCGGCCTGAGTACAATCCGCACGCGGCGTATCCGCTGGCGGACGAGTACTCCGGCAAACCATGGCAGGAGAAAGTCCAGAGTATCCGGCTGAAAATGGAGTTCTCGTCGGCCGACGCGCTCATCGTCACCGCCCTGGACGAGCTAGCGTGGCTCTTCAACGTCCGCGGCTACGATCTACCTCACACGCCCGTTCTCCGGGCCTACGCGATCGTCACCCACGGCTCCCTGCACCTCTACACGCCGCGTCATAAGATCATGCGGTCCGTCGACATACATCTGAAGATCGACTCCTGCTCCCATGCGAACTGCGTCAAGTGAGTGTCATTGATGAGTAGAGCCTTGGAGCTTACCGTGTCGAGAGAAACTCCCGACGAATAAGATGAGGAGTGGAACGACGGTCCACGCACAAGGACTCCTCATACAGAAGTAGAACTCGCAGGAATCGGTTTTACCTTGAATCTTAAAGACAATAAAAGAGCTTTGCTTCACGCAGTACTCCAAAGTCCAGATACTTCTAAATTATAAATTGAAAAGAAACTGACACGACACCAATAAGTAGACTTGCATAACGATCGACTTTTATCGTTGCAGATGGCACAATTACACAGACATTTGGTACGACTTAAAAACCATGTCTCAGGTCTGGAATACAGTTTGGCTCCCGTCGCCTTGCGGCTACTCGCCGGGCGCGTCCAAAGAAATATACAATTCCGTAAGTATGACCGCAGAGACGACGGGTTTGCGTGTAGTTTTCAAGCATAAGAATACATGCAATACAAATGATCTTTCTTGAGAAAGTCCGTCTTCTTCAACATAGCTACTCTATCTCAAGTTGTATTATATCTATTAATATGTATGGACATCATTTTATTATATGAAAACTTTCTCTCAGCGATAAACCACTGACAGACTTTTAGAGAGTAGATCGAATCGAATGAAAAACATGTAGACAAATGCAGCTAACACGTAAAAATCTTCTGTACAGATTCCACCGGAGAAGAGATTGGCTCAGGCCTCGCCTATAATCGATTTAAGAGCGGAGAAAAACAAAGTCGAAGCGGCAGGTATGAGAAGATCTCATCTGCGAGATGCGATCGCCATGTGCGACTTCCTGGCTTACATGGAAGAGCAGTACAAGCTGGACTCCGAGGGATGGGACGAGATGCAGGTGGCGAGGGTGATCAATGAGATTCGTTACGAGCAAAGTGACAATAGGGGCATCGCTTTCCCGACGATCGCGGGATACGGACCGCACGCGGCTATGCCGCATTACGAGCCGAATAACTTGACGAACATAAAAATCGGAACCACGTCCACACTAATGATCGACTCCGGAGGACAATACCTGGGTATAAAACTGCGAATCCCTTTAGTCTGCTTTGCATCGAAAATAGCTGGTCGAATTTAAACGGAGCAAGAAGTGACTTTAAATTCCAAATCAGTTTCGAAAAGGACTTGAATCGCCCCTTTGTTACTTCCCTCGGTTACTCTATTCTTTTTCCGCTCCCTCCAATTCTTCGCCGATCAAGTAATCGAGACACTAGAGGCATGAGATAAAATTGTTAATTGACAGATGGTACCACAGACGTAACCCGAACTCTTCACTTCGGAGTGCCGACCGACGAGCAGAGAAAAGCCTACACGAGAGTACTGGTCGGTTCGATTGAATTGTCATCTTTGATCTTTCCCAGTGATCTGACGGTAGACCAGCTGGACGTTATTGCGCGCAGGCCGCTGTGGAGCACCGGTTACAATTACATGCACGGGACTGGCCACGGAATCGGTCACTTCTCATCAGTCCACGAATGTTCGTAATCTACAGTTTCCCGTTAAAATAGATTTGCGTCACGAGAATATATCGAATTATGATTGACGAAAGTCATTCTAGTGGAACAATACGCGTTGCAGCGCCTATCGGCTTGTCGTATTACGGGTGCAAAAATTCAATCGCGGGATGCTCCGCCAACCTGAAGCCGGGATTCTTTCTCTCAAACGAACCGGGATATTACAAAGAGGACGACTTCGGAGTTCGTTTGGAGAATATCATCGAAGTAATTCCAGCCGACAAATTGGTACATCTTGATACATTCTTATCTGTATCTCTCTAAAAGTCAATCAGTGGATTGTCACTGAAAACCGTGAATATTCACTGACTCGCAGTTATAATGCATCTGTACTCTCTAAAAGCCAATCAGTGCATTACAACTGTGAATCAGTAAATATTCACTGTTTCCAGTGATAATCCACTGATTGACTTTTAGAGAGTATACTTCAGGATTGCATATAACAAACGTACTGTGCTATGCACTCCCTCGATTTACGCGATCTCATTTT